CTCATGTGCAACCATTAAACAAAGAAATGATACTCGAGGGAATGACACATGGTCTGAAATAGTAAACATGTCAGAGCCGAGGAGGTCTATTTTATCGACTCTGCCTCGGCTCCCAAACTGGCTTACTAACTTTTGATTTGTTTTCAAGGACACCTGCGTCCCCACATCTCGGAGTGTTCAGTAGGACTTCAGCCCCCGCAGCTCTCAATTACGTCATCTCCCAGATCGCTAGCAGTGACGTCAGTGCTRGTACCCAAGCTCTTGTGCAACTGGAGGTCGTTATTAGGAATAAGACTGGGGGAGAGATAGTCAAACATGTTGATCAGGTATGTGTTCTTCATCTAAAGAAAGGGTCTGATGATTACTTTAATAGCACTTCATCATTAACCAATAGGCTGATTAAGATTCCAGTTTTTCCTTCCCGCAAACGGCAAACGTGACCACGTTTTCATCGTTTCCCTGCATTTCACTTTACCTTTTACAAACCTTCTCGACAAAGGGGTAACAAAGACAAGTATTCTTTTGTTGATCTACTACTTGGAGATTTTTGCTATTCCTTTTCACTAATTTGAAAGAATTTTCTAATGGTGAATTGACGTTTCACGTTTGCCGTAAACGAGAATCTTAAACTCTCTAATATCAGAAGGACGTGAAAGAACCACTGAGGACGTAAAGAAACCCTGGCAGTGACCATCCTCAGATAACCAGAAGTTTGATATGTGAGAGAAGCAGCCATTTTGAAACCAAATTTATGATTCCAAATATGGAATCAAAAATCCTAATAGACCGTTTTTTCAAGGTTGCGTGCGCATCCAAATTTAAGGAACTTGATGGGCCACGATACCAGAACACRAGTATTATCATGCATTGCTGTGAAATTGTTTTCGATAAGAATTCATAAAATCGATTATTCTCCTCTTTAAATATAAAACTGTCTTCTCAATTTTACTGAATTTGCGTTTTTCAGTTTTGTGGCCCGTCAAGTTGGATGCGCGCACAACCTTGAGAAAACGGTCTTTTAGCATATCTGGATATTCTGGAGCACGTTTAAAGTGTTACACATTTCAACCCCCTGATAAGTTTCTGACTATAATGATTGACAGGTCCAGGTATTTTTTTCTCTTTATAGTTCTTAAATGCCGCTGCTCTGCAACTCAACATCATCCTGACAACTCACCTCAGCAATGAAGACCAATCAGAACAAACCATCACTAGACTGATCAACTGTCTGATCAACGCCATGCTGACGCTATTCTGCAACGAACCGCTGGCCAAGACCGTGTCACGTGACACCCTTAAGCAACTGGCTCAGGTCTTGATTACAGCGATACTAGACGAGAGGTTGGCGAAGCTGGAAGATGGGCCGCAGATTATTAGAGCTGTGAATGTATTGATGGCTAAGATTATACAGAAGACTGATCCTACTGTGTGTTTAGGGTAAGGACAACGAGTTATTATCCATTTCGACGGGGTACAGCTTGCAGAACATTGCATTGTGGGACTTTCAGGGGGCATTTTTCCAAGATGGCGCCTATATCGTACCCCAAARCACAACCACGATGCACTGTAATGCAAATTCGACACAGTTTATTTCTCAACCTCAGAACGTTTCTAAAAGGAGGACAAAAAAATAATAATATCCTGAGAATTGGAAACCTATTATGTCCTCCAAATTGAGCTGCATTCCGAAATACTGCAAGGTTTTATTTTTAGATCTCTCAGTAATTCACAGTACACGACTTAACACTAGCACAATACATATTCCTGAATTCTGGCGTGGGTACATAAGCACATACCCTCGAGCACTGTGCTCAGGAACCAAGTTTAACGTGTTATTGTTTAATGTTATTATTCTCAGTGCTCTAATAAGGCTGTTGCAAGAAAGTGTCAAGATGCTGCAGGGACAAGCAGGAAACTCACTCAGTTCTCCTAAATTCATGGAACTCGTCATGAAGGTGAGTACTTTAGCACACTATCAGAATCTGAGCCAAAACACTCACAAGAGGCATAGCGAAGGGGAGGGCTCAAGAGAGGGGTGTACTTTAAGCACACTATCAGAATTCGAGCCGCACTTTAAGAGTGTGAGAAACACGCCAACCAGTGGCGTAGCCAAGGGGCGTGTGGGTGGAGGGGGGTAAGGGAGAGCCTGCATAGCAAGGAGTTGATGTAATGTACTCATAAAAATACAGTGAATCACACTAATACAATAGATTATATTTTCTGAATACATTACATTAACGGAGTGCAAAATATTAAGCAATTCAATAAATCGGATTGGTTGAGAAACTAGACTATTTTCCACTTATTTGTTTTTTTGTTGTTGTTTTT